CGTCACCGTTGTCCTCACCCAAACAGTGTCAATGAGTGTCTCGGTGGAGGTGGGCTGGCGAGTGGTGACCAGCACAGCAACAGTGGAAGCCTTCAGCGTACTCGTCACTGTTGTGGTTGACGTACTTGTCAGAGTCACCCAAATGGTAACCGGGGATATAAAGGTAGACGTGAGTGCAAGGGCAGTAGGACAGACGATTGGTGTCACTTGATTGAGTGGGTGTGACTGGTTCACTGAGCGATGCTTTAAATGCTCTAGTTCTTGGTGGCGAAACTGAAAGAGTAAGTAAAACAATAGGAAGAGCACCAGGAGGATGAAAATCAGATGAGCTGTCCAGGCAAAGAACCTGTCCCAACGAAATGCCATGTTTAAGATCGAGGAAAAAGATGCCCTTAAAAAGTGCATTTAAAGACAACAAGAAAACAATAAACAGAAAACAGCTTGCTGATAACAAGTACGTATCAGCTGACACGCAGTCTTTAGTTAGTTGCCTTTGAGTCATGGCACACACAATGACTGTGATCTCCAGCTAGGAGGCAATAAGAGAAGTCTGTCAGGGGCCGGCGTGTTCATTAGCACAACTCGATGTCCACCCGAAGGCGGCCACCGTCAGAGCACTAAGAACATAGCTAAGGCACCTGAAGGTAATTTAGCAGATATGAAACGCCAAAGACACTTGGATTTTAACTTCGCGTCTTTGGAGCTGGATCTGCACACAGTGCCGACCACCACCAGGTGGCAGAGAGCAGCAGCCTGGCAGCTGTATTTTCTTTTTAGAAAACAGCAGCTCGCTGTTTCGATCCACCGACCTCAGTGTTGTAAGGCGGCGAAAAATCAGTCATGTCACAGCCAACATTTACTCCACTCAACCGCGCTGTCTGCTGCCTATAAGCTAAAACAGAACATTTTATCGAACTTACCTTACCACATTACCAGATTGTGTTTAAGGTGAAGCTTTTTGTCAGAAATGAGTCATTCTAAATATATCCAACTTTTCCTCATGTCACGCTCAACCGGTAACCCGACACTTTCGCCCATAGCCGAGCACCCCGAGGGCATTGAGGAAGCTCATGATCAGCAGCTAAACCAGTACATGGCCAATCTTTCGCTGAACAATCAATCGGCCTCAAGCAGTTCCAGCGTCTCCAGCACATTTTCGCCTTCTGCAGGTAACTCAAGTAACTCGAGTTCAAGTCAGAGCAATAGTGGAAGACGCCAACGAGTTCGCAGGAGTGAAACGACCACANAACCAGTCCATGGCCAATCTTTCGCTGAACAATCAATCGGCCTCAAGCAGTTCCAGCGTCTCCAGCACATTTTCGCCTTCTGCAGGTAACTCAAGTAACTCGAGTTCAAGTCAGAGCAATAGTGGAAGACGCCAACGAGTTCGTAGGAGTGAAACGACCACACCGGAGCAACTCAGTCCGACCAGTGGACCTGGTGAGGCCCAAGGGAAAACGACCAGGCAAAAACGCCGACGACGCCGCCGTCCTCAACAATACAAGCTAAAGGATATTGAGAAAGTGAACTTTAATCGGTACATTCATTCAGTCTTCCGGAGCACCTTTTCCTTCTACCACCGACCACCGCGGCAAAGTGCATCGGAGTCTCCCGCGGAAAGGGTCAAAGTGAGTCCGATTCGTCCACCGAGCTCCATCTCCAACACAGCCATGAGTGTTCTCAACACCCTGGTGAAGGACCTCATCGGCCGCTTTGCCGGTGAGACCAACAAACTGCTTGACAACTCGCCCCTGGTCACTTTGGATGCTCCTGAAGCCATTTCCGCCATTCGAATGATGCTTGGTAGAAACGATATTGAGTTCGCTGTCATCATCGAACGCTTTGGCATGCTCTCCGCCAACATGCCCAGTCGTAGACGTGTGCGCAAGGAGAAACAACCACGGGCTAAACAGGCCCAATGACTAAAGGTGGCACAACACACAGCAGATGCCATCCACTGTTTTGTTTTCACTTTCAGATATATTAAAAAGCATCTTTTACTAATCTTTGTTTTTTAGTATTAGGTAGAGCAGCTGATTTTGGTGTGCGTTCAGCAGTGGAAAGAGCTTAGCTGCAATCTCCCGGCGAAGCTCCTCATCGTGATCGTCACCCTCCCTGGCGATTCGCTTCTGCATGGCCAACTTCAGCTCAATGTCGGCAAAGTCGTCGATGGCATCGCCTGCGCAGGAGGAAGCAGCATTTGCCGGAGACGCAGCATCTCCCACCACCCCTTGGCTGCACTTTTGTGGTCGACTCTTTGAAGAGGACTTTCGGCTTGAGTTGCCGCCGGCAAACTGCAGTGCTAGCTGCTCCAACTTCAGACTAATATCATCGAGATCGTTCTTCTCAAAAGCCGAAGATGAAGAGGTGGCATTGGTGGTAGTTGTGGTGGTTGTTGTCGGAGGATCGTCGTCCACCGAGTCGATTCGGGTCAGGTGCGTCCCAGCAATAGGTGGCACTTCACTTGCGGTGGCCCCTTCGAGGGTTTTTGTGGGTGATAGCGTATGCTGCATCACTGCGTCATGGTAGTGAGACACTTCGAGCTCAGAGTCCTCACTCTCTGATTCGGTCGACGATGAGCTGTCATTCGCCGACCAGGACCAGTCCTCGTTGGCGTAGTCGTGATCAATGGTTCGGTGGAGTTCATTTCGGTAGCTCAGGTACAGTGTTTCAAGAAGCATATTCAGTTCGGCCAGCTGTGGTATCGTCCGTTCACTTTTGCGATCACTGTGCAGATCGAGAAAGGGCAGAAATGACTGGGAGAGGGAAAGAACCTCATCAGGAGTGACGCGAACAGCCTGACTGCCAGTGCCCGAGGCAGAGCTCGTAGAGGTTGTGGAAGCTGATTGAGGCGTCTGCACTTGCACCTGATCAGCCGTGATCTCGACGATCTCTGCCTCCTCTTCGTCTTTGTGGCCATTCGTAACGCCGCAACTCAACTTGAGACTGGGGCTGCACTGGACGAGACCGGCAGGCAGGGGAATGATAGGACTTGGAAACTCGTACTTTACTGGATCGTAGAGGTAGAGACGAAGCAGGAATGTGGTAATGTAGTCGTCGACAATTAGGTGCTCCGTTCCTGAAAAAGCTCCGCCGTCGCTCTTGGCTGGTGGCTGGTGCAGTGGCTGGCCTGAAGGGCGAGACGATTCACTGGCAGTCGATTTGTTGTTGGCGTTCGCATCGCCGGAAGACTTTTGCCGGCCGAAAAATGGCAACATTGTCCGATTGCTGGGTACTGTTGATGCTGGCGACTTGGCCGAGGTTGAAGAAACGGAGCGAGAAATGGAGGACACTGATTTCGATGAAGAGGGCTGATCTTTGCTGACTAGACTGAAGAGCTCGAGAAAGCACTGGTAGGCATCCTCAAAGTACTGCCCGGCGAGAAGGCAGTCAATGGCGTCACGAAGAAGACCTCCTTCAAGGAAAATATTTGCTGCTTCAAGATGCCTATAAAAGTAAAAAGTAAAATCTTTTATCTGAGCAACCATCAATATCTTACCTCTTCCTCTCTCGATACATTTCCGCCCACTCACTGTACAGCAGAGGCAGCAACGCCTCTGGGCAGATTTGAGCAGCATGAGCAAAGGCGGAAATGGCAGCATTCACCTCATCGGCGTCCTTGAACAGTCGGGCCGTCTCCATCAGCGTCTGGTACTCTGTGAGGGTGGCCGTCTGAACGATTCGATCAAGGCCCACTGATCCGCTGGAGCCGAGGAGGAAGCTCGGTGTGGCCGTGTTCGCTGCCGCCGTCCTTGATCTCGATGCAGCCAAGCCTGCACTGCCGTACGTCGAGGAAGCCGAAGATCCAAAAGTCGATGAACTGCTATTGATCTGCTGTTCTCGAAGTGATCCAACGATGTTATGTTCACATTGCGCCGCGGAGAGCATGCAGTAGCCAGCATACTGCTTGAAGTCCTTCAGCTCAAATGCCAACTTTTTGAAGCTCTCCGAAGCCTCTCTAAAGTTGGGCTTTCTCAGCGTGAATCGCTTCTTGAGCTTTGCCGTCACCTCTCGGAACTGAGCAAATTCAGCCATCAGATAAGAACTTTGGAACAAAAGTTGAAAAAGTGACAACTTTGAGAGCTGTTTACATTATTTACATTGTCAGACAAGTAGTCGAAACGATATCTTCACGAAACTCATTTAGGCTCTGCCCCAGTCTGACTGAAAAGTAATCAACAGATTTACCCAAATGTTCCTTGACGACTTGTATCACATTTATAAAAAGAATAATTGTACAAATGTTACCGAAAGTGGAAAATTAGTACAGTCACCTGGCCTTGAAGTAAAAATGGCAGCTCTTAATCAAACAAAATCACCTTTGTCCCCAACAATTTTGAGGTGATAAGCCACAAATACTAAACACTGTAGCGTAGGGTGACTGCAGGCACGCAATCACACGGCAACATGTGCCCATGTTTTATCAACCCAACGTATTGGAATGTGCTGCTTATAAAAACGAGTCCTGACAAACTTCAGTCTGAACTACAACTAAAAAGTGGCCAACTGCTTCTGCCTGACGCAACCATTTTGCAAAGTAAACGAACTGGCCAAAGAACCCCTCTTCTAAAATGGCTTCAAAAAAGTTGAAAATCTTTATTCATAGCATGGATGGCACTGGAAAGTATTCATTGGATTATGCGGTTTTCTTGTTTTAACCAGTTTTTTCTCAACTATCCAAAAATCCACAGGTCACATAAACGCGTGTGTTGGTTTAGCTGAAGCTCTGGTAAAGCGAGGACATTCGGTGCTGTTCCTTCTCAATTCAGCTCATAAAGGTACAAGTGCAAGTTTTTAAAAATGCCCTAGTCAATACTAATTGCTTTTTGTTTATTTCAGGTAACTTTGCCAAATTTGGTTTTGACGAGTACCTTCTTGAGCGAGCTAAAAGCACCTCTCAAAATGAGCCGCCTTCCACTGAGCAGGTTAACCCGGTGAAGGTGTTTGCGCAGATCATGATCAAATCCGGCATGTTCAGTGACAAGTCACCCATGGAGAGAATGAGAGATTTAGCCGGTAAAAAAGATGAAAGCTTTGTGGTCAAGCTCTACGAATCGACGCGTGACTTTAATCCGCAGATACAACGGGCGATGGACGAACATAAGCCAGACCTCTTTATTTTAGACCACTTTATTGTTCCGCCGGCTTTGCCCAAGTCAGGCATTCCTTGGCTGTACCTTTTCAGCGGAAGTCCAACGGCTATTTTGGACTCTCCTGATTTGCCGCCCTTCACTTCAGGTTCGTGTGTGGCTCAAAACTACGAAAATGATGTTTTCTAAACTTCTTCATTTTTCTAGGCTACTCAGTCAATGGCGATCGGACTGATTGGGATGAGTTTCGCTCTTATAGAAAGGCATTTCGAGACCTGTACATCAAGTACCAGACGCTACTCTACCAAGAGTTCGACTACGAGCCCACTGAAGAGGACTTTCCACTGCCCAGGGGAAGCTATCCACAGTGCAAATACGGCTACATTTACGGGTACCCGGAAGAGCTGGACTACCACGATGTGATTCGAATTCCGGAGAACTACATTCGAGTGGACGGCTTCTGCCGAGAGTCTACTGAGCCCTTTCAGCTGCCAGAAGGATTTAGAAAGGAGAGCGAAAAGTTGATCTTCTTCTCACTGGGCAGCATGGGTGGAGTGGACGTCGAGCTGATGAAGCGAGTGACCTCCATTCTCTCGAAGACGCCCCATAAGACGATCGTCTCAAAGGGGCCGCTCGCCGATGAGTATGAGCTGCCGGAAAACTGTTGGGGCAAAGGAAGTCTGCCGCAGATGGCCATCCTCCCCATGGTGGACCTAGTGATTACACATGGTGGAAAGTAAGTTGGAGAGTTTTTAACAGTTTTAAAGATGTACTGACTATTGAAAATTCTAGTAACACTGTCACTGAAACGTTCTCCTTCGGCAAGCCGACAATTGTACTGCCAATGATGGGTGACCAGTACGATAATGCACAGCGTATACAAGACAAAGGTTTCGGGCGGCGTTTAGAGACGTACAAGTTTAAAGAAGAAGAACTGCTAGATGCTGTGGAAAAGTTGATCAACGATGAAGCGCTGAAAGAAAAGTTGCAGGCTGCAGCAAAAAGAATCGCCACATCAAACAGCAAAGTGAAGGCATGTGAGCGAATTGAAGCACTGGCGGAAAAGTATGCCAAGTAAGTTTGCCGTATGGTTTCTCCTGATTATCATCACTAAGTTGGTTCATCGAACCTTTCAAAATGAGAAACAGGTGTACTTAAAAATAAGGCAAATGCTGCTTGCAGGCAAACTGTAATTCCCACCACCAAATAGTACCTAGCATTTAGGGAATCAAAAAATGATACTTTTATTGCAATAAAATAAAAAACAATCAGCAAACAAAAATGAGCATTGAAATGAGTGAAACAGTTTGAATGAAACAGCTGTAGCTGTTGCAAAGTAGTTGAAGCTTTTTATAATCAGATCTATTGGGTTCATCGGGTGGCGGTGTTTCCATGAGGCACAACCTCACTGACACTCCTACACACTATTCCGATTTGAAAGTGAAGACGGCGGCACATTTCTCTCCACTAATACTTGACGGTCGTTTGGTAGGCAGGCGGCGGCAACTCAATCTCAAGAGCACAAGTTTCCCTGCGACTGGCTGCCCTACTACTCGGAAGCTCATTCTCAAATTTAATCTTCTCCGCCAAGTGCTGTGCACTGAGCAGCTGAAAGAACGGCGGCTGCCTGAAACGCCCCTCTTCACTGTGCTCCACCTGGAGCACCTCTTCGTAGGTGGGCAGCGGCGGCAGTTGAGGGACTGCGGAGGACTCGCTCAGGGCGAGACGGGTCGCCTGGCGCAGTGCCACCTTCGCCACCAGACGAGCCTTTGCCCGGCGGTCGAGCAGACGATTGAGGTAGAGCAGAAGGGCGGCCAGCAGTGAGAGGGCGATCATCGCAATGACGCCGAACTCTAGGAACTCAAGTGTGTCTTGATCCATGATGAGTGGTGGTCGTTTTAGGGTTCAAGCTCGTTTGGCATTTATTTGGAAAATAATCAAGAGAGAGAAAGAGACTAATTTCTTTGAGTGTGATACATGTCATTTGCGCCCCTCAGGTCGGTCCTTTTATACCGTCCAAATAAGTTGGTTGGCATTATTTCTTTCGCCGACGTCAGGCGGCACAGTCCAATAGTCCACGCGTTGTGGCGACACACTTCAAACTTTTTTTTATTATGGTCCCTTTTTGTGGAGGCAGTGTCGGACGGGCTTTAAAGGGTGTCAGGCACACGTTAGAAGACTTTGTCATCACCTCCTCCTCTTCATCAGCAGCAGCAGCTGTGATGACAATGTGATAACTATCGCCAAGACACACTTTGCTCTCTCACTCACACTGCTGTCTGCTGTCTGCTGTCTTATTTTATTGATTTATGGACCTATGCACGTCCATCAAAAGGCATAACTAAGTAGTAGTGGCAGCAGTAGTAGTAGTCACTAAAAGACAAACCACAATGACCTTAGTGCTCAGCAAACTCTGGTCTGTGTAAAAGTAAAAGTGCTTCCTAACACAGCTCTTGGACTGTCAAAGTGTGAACATGTGATTTGATAGGATTTGATTTAGGGGGTAAAGTGTAAACAGGTATTGCGCGTGCTGGTTAAGTGTTGCAATGCAATGGAAATGGCTGATAAGGTAGGGTGATGAGAGAAAAAGAAGCAATGAAAAACAAAAGGTGTTGGGTGCTCTCCAACTTGACTTTGCAGCCATCAAAATGAGTATGGTGGCAATTAAAAACGAATTTACAGATTTTGTGCAACAGTGGCGGATGAGCATGCTTTGGCGTATCCTGGTGTTGCATTGTTTTTGTGTTTATTGTGTTTTTGTTGTTATTTTAAATTCAGTGCATTGGAAATTTTTATAAAATGATTTTCTACTTCAAAGTGTTTCCATAGTGACACATTTGTTTGCTATCTGGTAATGATTTCTTGTTTGAGTATATATAAAACTATTTTTAACAGGTTTACAGTGATAAATTTACCTGTCAATTAGTACTTTGAAATGGAAAAATTTAAAAATCTGCTGTAAGGGTACAAGTATTTTGTAAACAAGTTCATATTTTTTCAATTTTTTATTATGCAAAACACCAAAAAA